TCAGTAATGCTAGTGTGTTCTCTAATTAGGATTTTGTGCAAATCAAGTTCAAATGAAGTTCATTTCAATATCTTGCTCAGCAACACTGATCCATTATAATGCACAAACAACAAAAAGATTGCAGACAGCTATATTTACACATCTACAGTTATAATGTGAATTTAACTTGATGAATGAAGAAAACAGTAAGATGTTCTCTGTGTAATCTGTACATTGGCTTCAAAATGTTCATAGAGTTTAATTAATACTTCAAGCATTGACATTATACATTGGAAAAGCATTGATTGCAGAGCAGTTGAATGAACTACAGTTTATGTACATTAGAGCTTCTTCTATTGTCTCTGCTTCTGATGTTTGCAGCAGTGGGATGTTTGTCTCCCTTTTCTGGTTCTGAGCTATACAAGTTTAGACTGCAGTCATTATGACTTCAGGTTGAGTAAGATTTGACTCATATATCTGGTGACTTATGACTTAATTAGGTTATTTTAAAAATACCTAAAAACCTGCTAGAGGCACATGATATGTAGTGTCAGTATTATGTAACATAATACATTTGAAATATTGCAATATTTTCTTTTAGGGTAAACAGTTTTATGCTATAATTACTAATTTTATTTTGTGTTGCTTCACTCAGTCATTCAACAATGCTAAGCAGCTGGGATGATGGTACTTACTCATGATGCTATCGGTCATGTAAAAAGAGTCAGACAACAGCCGCTTGTGTTGTCTGATTTGCTTTATATTCTGTTGCCAGGTTGTAGGCAATTAAACATATCCTGAATTTATGAAGTACTGCTGTTAGTCAGTGTTTGTATAGGGACACAGCTGAGCTGTGTAGCCAAAGACTTCCCACTAAATCCAGTTACTTTGTAAGAACACATCCATAGTTAGACGTAAATGTCAGTGTGTCAACTTTAATTGCAAGTATTTTTTTTAAGGGAAAGACAAAATACATGTAGTCTAACCAACTTATTTTACTGAATGACATTTCAACTACAGATTTCATCCAACAGGTTAAACTGAAGACTGAACATATTCCTATATGTAATCATTATCTTCAGCTAGGCTAGTCTGCTTAATTCAACAGAGTCGTCGTCTCAGTGTGAAAAAAATCATATTGTAATAAGACTATATTGAAATAAAAACACATTTGTCAAATAATTTACCATGTCAGATATGCCATGACAATTTCAGCAGAGATCTTTCATGGGCCAGTCGTTATCACAAACAAAAATAGATCAGGCATGGACCCTCTGGAATACATCCAGGTGTTTCAAATCAAACAAGATTGCAGATGTGGTCAAATTAGTCTCCCTTCTTACTGAAAATATCCAATAATCAATCATCTACACAGAGGTAGTTTTTTTTTTAAGTGGCCATTTGTGCATTAGACTATTTAAGCTACTCCAATGGGCCACATATAAAACCTCCCCAGTGTTGCAGAATCAGTGACTTTCTTCAACTCCAGTGTAGAGACAGACTAGTTTCCCCTCAAGAGAGTCGCCAACCCTGCTTGGTGAATTTGTCGTCCTCCCTGCTTGGCATAGCAATAGCTCTCTGGGTTGACAGTTGCATTCAAAGGTAGTAAAGTGAGCATAGCAGTGACCAGACTTAGACACGTAATTGACTGTAGGCTTGTCTAGCATTATTTCTCTGGAAGAAGAAATGTTAGGTCTTATTACTTCATTTTAGTAAGGTATTTTTAACTAAGCAGCTATAAAAAAAATACTGTCAAAAGATTCACTGCCAATCATTTATTTAACAAATGAATTCAACTGACCAATGGCCGGTCTGACCTGTCTTTCTGGCATTTCCTTTATAAGAAGAATCTGTCCAACAACACATATTTGTCCAGGCTTCTCAAGTAGTTTAACACGACCATGTTAAGATCTCAGTGCACATTGGCCTCATACATAGGGATGCTCTCCCAGTTTCCCAGCTTTTGCTGTAGTAGAGTCTATTTGTTTTCTGTTGATAAAGCTTAACTTTTTCTAAGTTTTCTTCCTTGACTGAGCCACAGGGACTATCATTGCATGGAATAATTTCCTCCAAAACAAAGAAGAAATCTGAAATGGAGTGTTTTTTAATCCAACAGCCTTCACATATAAACCTTTGCTTGAATTCTACACTAATACACGGCTTTCAATAAATGAAAAGCCAAATACTTAAGTCAATACTGTGATAACTGTGTCCTCTGTGTACAAGTTCGTTGTTATGATTCTCAATCAAGTTTTAAATTGTACACACATGAACAAGCATTCAGTCCCACCCTGTTAACTCCCACAATCAGCCGTAAGTAGGTAATGAAATGCCCTGCATGAATATTGATATTCATGTGGATGTTCTTGTCCTTCCAGTCTTTTTGTGGAAGTAAAAAAAGAAAAAAATGTGTGATTAAAGGGAAATTTAATTGTGAGTCAAGGTTGGAGGTATTATTTACTGGCCTTCATTCAGCTGGAGTGGTGATGTGTCACAGCAGCAGTTAATGTTTAGAGAGCCACTGCCTTTAGAAAGAATAAAACAGAAAAGGTTGACAACATTATGTCAATGGCAGTGGCGGGGATGATTGGACACCAGAACACTTTCCCCTTGACAGACCTTGATAAAAGGGAAACTCTAATTAAATGCAATGTGACAGAAGAACACAGTGACATCAGGCAGGCACAGAGGATATGGACAGTTGAGATAAGCCTCCAGTTGATTGACTGTTGCATTCTGTTTCCTTCCGCTACCCACTTTAGTCTCGACAATTTCTGCAACAGCAGCTGTGTTGTTCTTTCAATTATGAGCAACGCCAGAAAGCAGTCAACCCAGGTGACAAGCCACATGTTAGTGGTGAACTGTGACAAAAGCTTGAATTGTGCAATTAGCCATAATAACACCCTCACCTCGTCCAGCCCCCATCTAAGCGCTAAACTATACTTAGTAGAATTTACACTTGTACTTGAGAATTCTTATTAGTGTCAGCCTTGAAACTTTTTTTCATACCTGGCAAGGTGATTTAAATATACGTACAAAAAACTGAATGACTTGTACATGTTCCTTTGTGTAAACAGGTTCCTGAGATATACAGAATTTTAATGGTCTTTAACTATGTGCTTCTAGTTATCATTTAAGTTACATTTTGAGTGAATAGGGTGCTAGCTGCCTTATTCAAATGGTGTACGTCAACAATATTAAGGCTCTATATTAAGGCTCTATGGCTTAAGGACAGATTTTTTTTTAAGTTTTAAGTGTTTTAAAGTGTTTTAAGTTCTGGCTTGTGTTATGTGCTATCTGAAAGTTTTTTAAATGATAATAGCAGTGGTGTGCAGTTATTGTTTTACATTAGTTGTAGAATTATGAATTATGGACTATATAATTTTTATTTAAAAAAACATACTTGTAAATTATCCAAGAATAATCATATATGCAATTGTTCTTTTTCCTATTTTTTCACCATACCTAATATAAATATCCAAATACAACCATTTTTCATCTTGTTTTCTTAGCATATCTTATCACAACTGTATCTGTGTTACAGTATAATCACCTCTGTTGATGAGCTAAGCATGTTTTTGGACATAAATCGCATGTAGAATATGTTTGCACTATATTTCTACATTGCAAAGTGTTTGGAGCTGGAAATCTTTTCTGGAACATAAACTGCCATTTCAGCTTGAACACCGATGGAAGACGGAGGTAAAAGTTAGTTTTTCACTAAAAAATATCTAAATTCATATTAGTTTCATGGCTGAAGCTAATGACAACTGTCAGATATGGGTATATGTTTTGCTAAATACAATATTGTGCTTGGGGCCCTGATGATATGAGACTGTTATTGTAGATAATTGCACATTTCTAGCTTTGACACAGTTCACTATCACTAACATGAGACTTGTCACCTGGTTTTATTGCTTTCCGTGTTATTTGCTATTGAAAGAGAAGCAGCTGCTGTTACAATAATTGTAGAACATTGGTTAGTGGAAGGAAACCACTTGAGGAAAATTGTTTGATTTAGTACCCTAATAAAGACAAGTCAAACATTATTATTCAGCACCTGCAACCACATTGTAGTTTTAATGAGCTTAATAAAATGAGCTATGGTTTAAATACGCTTTTTTTTTCTTTTCTTTTTTGTTTTAGTAATCCAATATACACTCATCAAAAACTTTATTAGGTCCACCTGTTCAATGGCTTGTTTATGCAAATATCTAATCAGCCAATGGCAGCAACTAACTACTTTTAGGCATGTACACATGGTCAAAATGACCTACTGAAGTTCAAACCACGCATCAGGAAGAAAAGTGTTTTAAATTACTTTACATGTGACATCTTTGTTGGTGCCAGTCTGTGCGCTTCAGAACTTGCTCAACTGCTTGTGTTAGTCGTCATGATGGTAGGATCAGAATTTGAAGTAAATAGCAGGAAAACATGGACCAATCATCGTATGAATGGTTCAAGCTTATGGTGGTGGTATGATGATTTATGGGATATTTATGGGTAGTAGTGTTTTTTATACACATTACCAAAGCTGGTGTTTTGCATAAAAGATATCCTGTATTGATGTATTATTTGTTCCACTAATGTGAGTGCATTGGGGTCATAAAAACTGCGTGTTTGGCACAGGTATACTTTTTTTTTTTTAACTTAATTGTAGCAACTCTGAGAGGATTAATGACATTTGTTTTATTCTATACACTTTCATGTCCCAGTGACCATTTAAAGTGCACTTATTGCACTTTGCACATTTATTTAGTTGAGAGCCCAGTCTTGTTAGACAAAAAATATCTGCCTGGCATGTTACCAAAATGACTTCTGAGTGGCGAGACTTCCCTCTGAAGACTTTGCTGTCTCTCCTCTTAGTCTTTCCACCAATTAATTTTCTCTTCTCACTATGGTTTTATTCCCATTATTCTTTCCTCTTTTTTGTTAGAGGCAGTTGCTGAGTTGTATTCGTGGCGGAAACTGCCCTGGACCCAACGTCAGCTCACTGCAGTTGCCTGGAGATGTGGGTTTCTTTGCCAACCAATTGGCCGTGCCTACCATGGAGTTTGCCTTTGAACAGACTAGAGCAGAAGAGGTATGTCTAAACCAAAAGACCCAATTATTTTATTTCCATTTTTCTTGTGACGCTCATTGCTTTGATTTTATGCCATGCTACGTTGTCCCTTGAGATCAGAGGAACTACCATAATACAAGGCACGGTCACACCTTGTCTTTTAGAAGAATAGAATAGAATAGAATAGAATAGAATTAATAGAATTTTAGTTTCTGATAGTAAAAATTTCCTCATTAGAAGCAAAACTTGTCTTTGAGAAGGTACATTTACCTTTAACTTACGACAGACACAAACTACTTAAAGTGCATGCTTTAATGTTTTAGCGTGTGAAACAAAGTCTGTATGAATATATACCAGTTGTGTGACTGAAGTAATTACTTCATCCCAGCCTTAGTTTCACATAAATAATCTAATATATACAATATGCACTGAGACAATAATGGAAAGTATTAAACCAAAAGGAGAAGAGTATTGTTTCAGTTTGTGTGAATTTTCTTTTAAAGAAAATCTAGTAAGGACCCCATCTGTCAAACTCTGTTAAATTGGAGTGGCAGTCAGAGGGAGATCTACCACAGGGCAGTTCATATATACAAAGACAAAAAAGTGGACTGGATCTAAAATTAACGACTTTATTACATTACACGATTTACATTTTAAGACATTTTTCCAGCTATGTCACATGACCATATGTGGTACACTGTGATAACAACCATATGCAGCCCATATAGTGTCACTGCCAATATGAAGAACGTTTTCAAACTTAAGCAGAGTGCAGTATAGCTTGTCTCTTTTGTAAGGAACAAATGCACATCATAGTGCTCACAAATTATGCATGCCCCCATTTATTTCCATTAAAAATGCAGTATTGATGTTTGTTGCACAGCCTTGGGGTGGAAACACAGTGATTTAGCCTCAGCTTATCGGCCCACTCAAATTTGGAACTTCTGGCTAGGACGGCAACTTTGAGCTTAATTAGTGCGAGAGATCTTCATGATGTTTATCTGCCCTCAAGGTGCCTTTACAACCTGAAAATAATAGGTGGTGGAGAGTGAAATCTGCATCACTGGGTTTGTTTAGGAAAGACAAAACCTAAATTAAATTAAAAACTATCTGTAAACAAACCTGACTCTGTTAGGGAACACCCTATATCCATATATTAGTAACGGCTTAATAGCATTTGGATTGAACTCCAGCATTTAAAATCGGAGGGCAATAAAATTTCCTCTACTGCTTTATATCTTAACCGGGTCTCTGGGGAAGCTGAGACAGACAGAAGAACCTACACAGCTTCCATTTATAGTTAATTTCTCCACTTGTAGAAATGCTCAACATGTTTTAGAAACTGAATTTTCTCAAGACAGTTCCGAATTACTTTCAGATTGACTGTTCAGTCTGGAGAAGGAGAAAGACTATTCAGCAGCTAAGCTGCAAGTTTAATGGCAGACCATGGTTGATAGAGTCAGTGAGGAGTCAGTGAGCTTTTGGGGAAATAAGAGACTAATTAATAGTCAACTATTCACTAACTACAAATTTTTAAAAAACAACTGTATGTTATTTTTAGATTCAAGTATGTGTTTATCCCAGGTATATGTTCAAAAAGAAGAGAAACTGCTACTAACATTAGCACTAAATATGATTATAGCCAAATATTCTGTCCAATTAGAGTTAATATTTAGCTACTGTGTTGCTTTCCTGGGCTGCTTTGCAAGTAAATAAGATTCATTAGTGTTAATGGTGTTAGTGTTTTATTGATTGTTTAAATCTGGCTTTCGTATAAACCAGTGTCTGTATTGCCTGTGTTTTGTGTCATGTGTAAGCTGTGTGCAGGCAGGATAGGAGGAATGATGGACCCAAAATTGTAGACTCAAAACAAAGATTTATTACTAAATGACAAAAACAGGAAACTGGCTAAACTGGAAATACATAAACTAAACTGGCAGGCAGATGGACAGAACACACATCCTGGGATGGGATGTATTAAAGTATTCATATAAGGACATGGACATGGATTATATAAGAAAATGCAAAACTAATGTACATTTAATGGCATGCAATCATTTATACAGATCTTTTAAAAAAAGATAGTTGCTGTGGGGGCTTTCCCTAACTTAAACATAATGCTTCCACCCTGCAGCACCCATTTGAAACATGTTCCCACACTCGTTTTACCATATTCACTTTTTTTGCAGATGTCGGCATATTGAACAGTAACACGATTACAAAAAGTGGGAAACAGTACAACTTCTGCAAGCAACAAATGCTTAATGCACCTACATGTATTTTCAAGACATGCTGATTTAATATGCGGGATTTATATTTCCTTCTAATGGCCAATTTCTGCTTTCACAGCGTGACCACATCTTTAATAGTGTTCTCCCACGAGTAATTTTAAATAAATTCCTGTTCGTATGGGACAGTTTAGCTTCCACACCCTCACACTGAAATGAATGGATATGTATTTTCTGAGTAGTGCAAGCTGGAATAACAAGAGTTATATAATATTTGTTACAGAGATCTCATATGAAAAGCGATTTTCCTGCCACAGTAAAGTTTTGCAGGCTCTAACCGCCTATATTTCTCTGTAACCTTACTGTCGTTGCGCATATTTCCAACTCCCAAGCAGTTAAAACACCTGTGGAGTTCACCCTAAATACAAGCACAAACAGGAGTCATTTAGATCTACTTCTAAGAACAAAGATGTATCCAAAATGTGTCACTCTGAGATGATAATACAAAATGAAATTTGTTGTTTACATTATAAATAACACGTCTAACTGTGAAGGTAAAGGTCAAATATTCAGTAGGACAAAAGTACAGTTCAGTACAAGAAAGTACAAAAGTAACACTGTTTATTATTTATATTCCATTGCATCTTCATTTTGCTGCTCAAAGGGCTTTTGATATCTGCAGGCATCCTTCATCAATTCAGTTCTACCTATATAACAGCAGTTGCCGTGCGCTTTACATCGTAAGATAAAGACGTCACTGTATTATATAGAGAAACTCTGAGAAAGAAGAAAAAAAACTTTTGACTGGAAAAAAATCTGAAACGGCCTCAGGGAGGGCGGCTAAATACTGCAACTGTTTGGAGTGAGGGGAAGCAAAGAGGAGAAACAAGAGCATAAAGATACGACAGTCAACATCAACAAAAATAGCAAGCTCTAAACCAGCTGTTATTACCGAGAGTTTGTAGGAAAAAGACCTGGAAACATTTATAGGGAGAGGAGACAATATGGAGAGTAAAGGAGGGGACACCATTAGACTTGGAAACAGAAGTTCACTATGTATCAGCACTTGGGAACAGTGAGTTAAAAGCTGCTTTGTCAGTTTGGATTTTTCTCCTCAACAACAGTTTTGACAATCGAGGCCCAAAATGCCACAAAAAAAAAAACCTTAGTGCACAGGAAATGTTTATCTCAAATTACCCTCGGTTATTTTTAACAATTGTAAATGTCATCTCTTTTTATTCTGTCAAACACTGTGTTAGTCATATCTCATATTTTTCTCCCACACACTGAACACAGATTGTGTTCTGCTCTTAGGCTTTCCCACCATTACATATTATCAGTGTTGTCATGGTGAATGGCCCTGATTTTGAAGAGGTGGGAGTGAAGCTGTGATACGACCTGACTTTCACATTCTCTTCAGTCAGTTGTATTTAGAGCTAGCATTTCAACAAAGGTGGGGAGTTGCAGTAAGCATAAAAAACAAGCAGCTAAAAATATTAACTGATTACAAGGGGTTTAGTACATTTGGTATTAAAAGGTCAACAAAATATTTTTCAGGGATGCCCTGAATATAGCTCGAGTGAAAATGAGCAATTGTGTGTTTTCCATTTGTTTGGCCTAAAAATGTAAACATGTAACACAGGCCATACATTCAACCACAAACTTATAAGCTGTGTTTGGGGGGAAAAGTTAGGTTTTGTTTTGCTGTTTGGCTTCACTAGAGCTAATAAAGTACAGGGTTCACCGAATGATTCAATAGCCAATTTTCAATAGTGGAAAGGACCTAATTGTCATCGAAATGACAAATTTGATCTTAGCACTGGTTTCATGTCTGTTGGTACTGTACCATACCATGCCATAATCTCATCGTGCCCTTCTGATAACTGCAACAATCCCCGTGCAAGGTTTAGGAAAACATGTGATTGAGCATCAAGCCCATCTGCCAACCGTCCATATTCAGTGGAAAACCAGTTACATGCAAGTTCCTCATTGTTCATTTTGGCATCACCTCACTGCTAATGGCGGTGGACAGGTCTTGGCACAGGCATGCTTTCTCTGAAAGGAACACAACCTCATTCTTGCCCTAGCTGAGCTTTTAGCTGGTGCATTGACATCCCATCTGAGACTTTTGTCATGCAGTCAGTGATGCATGTCTCGACCCACATCAAGAGGGAAAGGGCAAGAATAGCGCATTGTCATGAACATGAAAGTAGCTGGAAGGTAAAATTCATTTCATATGCAATATAAAATGCTATATATGCAAGCTGCTTTTGTGCTGAAGTTTGTTATTTTCAAACCCTCTTTGATGACTAGAATTAATATTCAGTCTCATCACTGGCAATACAGTTACAATTATGTGTGTGATATGAATCAATGACATACCACAGGTAGGAGAAAAAAAGACATATGTACGCATAACAACTGTAATACTTCATGTTTCTTCTTTTTGAAAGATTATTAAGGCAAACATTGTTATTAATTTATGATAAGTACATTAAATTGTGTTGATCCAAGTAGATGGTGTACTGTGTAGCTATTTGCTGATCCATGAAACCAAACAAAACTGTAAAACAAGAACAATAAAAAGGCAAAGAATTAATATCTATATATCTGCTTTTTCTGTGCAGATTTTGCAATTAAAATATAGTGATTATTATTTGCCCACATTAGGCTCCGAACAGAAAAAGAAAATAATAAACACACAGAAAAGTGAGTGCCTATGTATGTGTGAGACAGAGAATGTTTGTGTTTTCCAGCTAAAAGCTTTAGAACAGTGAACCGAGTTGGGCGACG